CTTTCTACTTCCTGTGTCTTAACTCCTGATTTTTATGTCTATTTCTTTCTTCCCTACTATTATATAGGCAATATCACTTACACCAATGGTGCTGAATGATCCTCATCGCTGGTTAGCAGAAGCAAAGGTATAGTCAGACCTCCTGAAATTTTGCAGAATAAGCTAATATCCATAATCATTCAGTTGAAAATATTTGTGAAAAGACATTTGGAGGTGAAAAGGAAAATTACAAAACCATTCCTTTGGCAACAATTCTGCTATTTCCAGACTGCTCTCTCAACTGATGGAATTTCCAAATTTTGCTATCAACAAGAAATAACTGTCTCTATAGTAAAATAAATAGCAAGGTTGTTTTTACAAAAAATGTATTGAAGTAACTGCAGAGAAAGCCTTTAGATCTGGTGCAATTATTTTTAGACAAAACCACCGTGAGAACGTAGTCAGCAAATTAAGTTTCTCTTACAGGGCTATAACAAGTCAAGAAACTATTTTAAAGAATGGTATTATTTATTAAATCTAAAAGATATTAGAATGAACTTCCTTCCCTATTTGTTTGAAGCTTTTGAATCCTGTAATGTGGGGGGGTGCACACATGCTTGAAAACTTCTTCAGAGTGATAAATGTTAGGTTATAAACCTTGCCTTTTATTTTGAAGCTTTCTTCCTGCACCCCTAACTCACACATATAAACACATTTCTTATCTAATATCCTTTAAACGGAGTAATTTTCATGTGGTTTTAGTTGTTGTTTTTTTCTGATCGTAAAAATGTCAAAGCCACTGAGAAACTGACTTAAGAAAAAATTGCAACTATTTGCATGTAAGATAATTTAAGGTTCTTAAGTCTATTTAAGACCTGTTGACCAAGAAAGGCTGCCACTAGATAGCAGAGATAAGATCAGAGTGAAAGGAGAAATGTTAGGCAGGAAGTATTTCCTTAATTTAAAAAAATGAAACTGATGTATTATTTAAAGACCTTCCAAAGAGCATCTAATAATAATTTACATAATTTTCTTACCTAAGTTTCTTTAGCTGTTAGAGGGAAGTCTAGAACAAATAACTCCTTAGCCTGCCCTCCCTCTCCCATTTTTTTCCTTTTGTTTTAACTAGGCCGAGTAAGTATTCACTTTTACCACTTCTAGATTTCCTTTGACTGTGACCTGTCTTATCTATGAGCTCTCTTTTCTTTTTTCTCTACATAAACCTTAAACATGAACTTTTGCTGACTAGAAAGGATTGACATCACCTTTAAAAAAAACGAATAAATGCTTTAAATTTCTTCAACATAGAGGACTAAAGGTATTTGGAAAGGAAGGAGTATCTCTGGTGTCAATTATATACACTAATTCAATGTGAATTTCCATACTTTCCCTAGTAAACCCATTCTTATGATTAAAAATAAATATGTGTATTGCTTCTTCACATGCAATTATCAGCCAAAAATATATCTGGTTTTTGAGACTCTGAAGGTCAAAGTATGTCCTCTTAATATATCAGAATGTCCTCTTTTATGATTGTTATTCAATAATAGGTACAAATGAGTAATCTAAGACACCAAAGATAATTTATCAGTTAACATTTATGTTGTTGTATTTTCATTAGCATTCTTTACGCTTTACTGTCCTGTTTTTTTAACGTAGACTAAGCTTCAGTGGCTGTGTGAGGAGGCAAAGGAGAGGGAAAGTAAGGAAAAAAAGCTGCGACACTACTTACTGCAGAGCCGAGAACATCTCAAGCACTTTACACAGATGAAGGAGGCTGAACATCAGTCTCTCTTTAAACAGATAAAAAAGCAAGAAAAACTTTTGGAAGAAGTTCACAAAGAAAAGAGAGGTATGTTCCTGGTTCCATTTTTGTTAAGAAAAGGGAGAAAGAATTTTAAAATTCTACTAACTATAATTCCTATGTGACCTTCAAGTGTATTTAAGCAACTAGTTATTACAAACTTTGATTTGGCAATGTGGTACTGATCGCCACAAAATCAGGTTTCTTTGTTTTCGCTTGCTGACAAAAAAGGCAAATTTAATCAACTACGTTTCAACCCAGTACAATGACTGAATAACAGATGCATTTGCAGCATGGGCAGTGGATACACAAGTTATTTTTCAACCTGAGACATTCCACGACCTGGGAGAAGAGGAATAATTATACAAGAATCTGAGGCAGCATTAGTAGATAGTGCTGCTTTTATCTGTCAAAAAGAAAGAGCCCACAGCAATCCCAACTCCTGTGGAATTACTTTTTTTTTGTTTAAGTTGTACATAGAAAGAACTTTAGTAAATTTTCTTCTCATCCCCTCTCATCCCTTATTCTGTGTTGCAAAATGGAGTAAGATATGCGTTGTTTCTAATTAAAACAAATGACATTGTATGTGGAATACCACAGAAGCCTCTCTTGTCATATAGATCTTATTCTAGAGTATTGTGTGGGAGGCTTAGTGCTAGCATCCATACCATCCATTCTTGCCATGAAAGGGGAAATACTAATCAGATTTTACTGAGCATTGTAAAGTTCTGGTAGAGATGGACTTCTCTATTCCCAGCCAAGAGCCATTTTTTTAATCTCAGCTCAGATACTTGTCGTTTAGTGTTATAAAGTTTCTTGAAGATTGACTTTGAGCAGAATGTTTTTAGGACTGGAGCCTTCACCCTGAGCTTCTTATTCTAGAGTCTCAGGAAGACAAGAAGATCTATCTTTTGTCATTCTGCTTTTCATCTGTATACAAGCTTATTTATACTGTGTTACTTGCAGCTTAACTAAACACATTATTTCAATGAAGAGTATTTTTATAATAAAACCAGAGCATTATAGCAGACTTGGAACATAAACAATTTACAGCACATCTTTATTTTCATTCTTAAAACCATATTTTCTGCTGTCAGAAATCAGTACTTTGTGTGTGGAATGGATGTGAGAGTGGATGCTTATTAAATCCAAGCTTAGGTGAAGTGTAAATTTTGAAGAGTAGGCTTGGTCTCAGCCAGGAAAAATCCATACATGTTGTTCATTTGGGTTGCATCAGTAGCTCTTACAGTCAGTTCAGAATTTATTTGTGAAGTTTATCTTCAAAGGTGTATCTTATTTATTGTCATTACTGCTTTTAGAAGACAGCGCTGCATCTTTACCTCTCTGATATTTAGAAGCTTCCTTTAATTTTCAAGACGGATTTTTACTAAGTGCTTGGAAAAACTACTTAGAAATTGTGCACTTCTACTGACCAATAGATGACAGATCTGAGCAAAACCAGAATTAACAGGTATCAGTGCCTGCCTTTCACATGACCACCCACAACATCCTGCTCTCTAAATTGGAGAAATATGGATTGGATGGATGGACTATTCAATAGATAAGGAATAGACTGGATGGTCATGTACAGGGGTTAAGTGTCAATGGCTCTATATCCAATTGAAGATCACTGATAAGTAGTGCCCCTAAGAGGGCTGTACTGGGACCAGTACTGTTAATATCTTCATTAACAACATTGTGGGATCAAGTACATCCAGAGCATGTATGTTATACATGGTCACCATCCCTGGAGGTATTCAAGAAATGTGTAAATCTGACATTTCAGGGCATGCTCTTGTGGCCAAGGATGTGGCATGTGGGTTGTTTTTTTGTGTTGTGGGTTTCTTTGTTTGTTTGGGTTTTTTTGTGTCTTCTTTTTGACGATTGCACTTGGTGATCTCAGAGGTCCTTTTCAACCATGATGATTCTGTGATTCAGTGCTTTATTTAGCTTTAGCTGCTGTGGTGTCACAGGCCTTCCAGCAGCAGGTCCTCTCCTCTTAATAATACTCAAGACTTTAAAATGAACATTTGCTGAATGAATAATTGGAGGCAGGGAAACCAAATACAACTAAGATTTACCATAGATAATCTGAGCCAAACTTATTTCATAAATTTGATAAGATGGCTGGTAGCTACCGAATAACTGATAGACATAATAGAAGTGTGGCTGTCATCTGTATAACATACAACATAGGACTGTTGGAAGTGACAAATGGCAATGTGAAGTTTAAATATTAGAATGATAAATTAGAGTAAGGACTGTGCTACTCTGAGTGACAAAGGTGTAGTTATTAAAAGGGATGTTGGTCAGTAGACCCCTCTTCATGAGTGAGCTTACTATGACCAGGAGGACTATGATAATGGATGTTGAAGCATCAGAAAATATGGTGGCTTTGTTGGTACATGGAGTAAGTGGAATAGCCTTGGGGTCATTTAATTTCATTTACGTGATGCCAAGAACGAAATTTAATGTATTATATATTTTTACCACTTTTTATACCAATTTTTAATTTGAACCTGGAATCAGAAATTCATTATAATGTTCACAAACACTGAAGAAAGTTTTGAGAACCTTTTGTTAATGTGCTAAGAAATAGGCAGGTTGACTTAGTATTCGATATCACTTTGCTGTACCACTGACTTAAATGACAGTGTATGCAAGAATAATGGACTTAGAATCTACATGTCAATTTAATTGGCTTGTTTCACAGTAATACCAACATATGTTGTTCTTTTTAATTTGAAAGCTATGGCCTTCATTACACCAATAAGTTGGTAGACAGTAGAGGAAAAAAAGAATGCATGACTTAATGTGAGTTCTGAGTGCTGCTATGCATGAATTGATACACCTAAGTGTTTATAAATGTCTTTTTTTATTTTAAAAAAAGTTGTAAGACTAAACATGGCTATTTACATTTATTGGATAAATGCTCTTACATACTGAATGAAAAGCCCAGGTTTAATTATGATGCAACTAGTAGAATGTAAACGTGTAATCAGTTTAATGTGTAAATGACTTGAACATGAAAATTGGAAAGCCTACTTTCCCAAAGGAGAAAAGAAGACATGGCTAATAGCATAAAAAGGTGTTAAGCAGAAAGAAGAAAGCAATATATCAAAATAATAGAAAATTTAAATTAAGGAGACAGAATGGTGCTGTGCTTCTGTTACTTAAAGGTAAAAAACAGAATAAATAATTACAGAATTCTAAGATGCTCAGTAATCAAATTATGGGCAAAATCCAGATGCAGAAATAAAGCAAATGAAGGCAGAATGAATTTACTCTGTATGATATAAAGACTCATCACTTATTTTTTTTAACACCAAAGTATATGTGACAGTATTGCTCAATAAAATGGATTTTAAGTCAAATTTGGTGCAAACAGATAAAAATATTTTCTGCTGCATTTGGAATGCTGCAGATGGAATGATGGAATATTTTATCAGAAAGACTGATTCTGTTAATATCCATGGATGTGATTGTCCCCAGCAACACAAACCACTTGTCTGAGTACTTAATGTAGTCTAAAAATACTCCATTATTTTAAATTTATGTCCATTAGAAGTAATAAAAATAAGGCAGAGAAATTGTGTTCTCAGTAAATTATTTTTTTCATTTCCCTTCAGTGGATCTGATATTATAGCTTATTCGTGTTTTTTTTGGGGGGGAAATAAAAAAAATAGAGATTTATGGTAGACATAATAGGATAAATGTTTACACTGTATTATTGACAAATGTGTTTCTGGAAGTCTTATAAGCCTAAATACATCTACTAAAGATCTTAATGACATAGTTTTTTACCTTTTCTATTCTTCACCAAAGCATTTGTAAATATCTAGGATGTTTTAGGTTTTTGGATCCTCCTTTTGAATTTCTGTAGAGGCATTAACATTATCACATTCCTACCTGTGGTGTTAAACCAACTATGTGCTATAATCCTGAATACTAGAAGTAAGCTAACATAAAGATTAATGAATGAGAGAATATTGAATGAAGGAAAATACAATAATGTATTATAGTCTTTCAGGATTGTTTCCAGAGTAGAAGTTTCATGTCACTTTCATGATGCTTCAAGGTAGGCTGTAGTTTTCTTCCCTTCTTGATAAGTGTACCACCCTGGAGTGTTAAGAAAGGCAGAAGACTAACAATATTTTTAAATACCTAAGAAGTGAATAGGATTTAGGTTCTGATGTCAGGTTTGCAGATTTGTGCTTTGGATACTGTTCAGTGCCTAACAAGTTATTTATCTAGCATGTCACCCAATGGGGTATTTCAGGTAGTAACAATTATATAAAAATAAAAAAAATACTTGTTTTCTTCTCTTGAAGTGATTTTGATCTCATAATCAAATTGATTTTAATAACATTGCACAAAGTATTCAATAATTTAACCAAGTGGACAAGGTCTGAGGAAATATAAGGTATAAATTCCAGTTTCTTAACTAGGTTTCATTTGCATTCTGCAATCACTGAGCATGCTGAGGTCTTCTTACAGATATGTTTCAAAATCAGCTCAAATCACAATGATATTATTATTATTACAGAGAAATGTTTGAAGGTAGGAAAAATATTGTCTTTTTCACATTTTTTTTTTCTTCTTTTTTTCATATATTACCTCATATTGTCCTTATATGACAACACAGTCCTTTCTGTGGCAGCAAGAAAAATGGCAAGGTATTTTAAGGTCATTTCTTATTGAAACAGAAAATTCTTTCTAAGCATACAAGAGAAAATCACCACAATACATGTTTTTGATGGTGAGCTTCAAAATGCATAAAGATTAAATATAGTTACTATTAAAATAATTAATTTCTTCTTAATAATGTTCTTGCCCTTTAAATAATGTTTGGCTTTTTTAATGTGATGGGGGAAGGGAGAGGGAGGACTTAGAAGTTATTTTAAACTTAGCCAAAATGAACCTGCATTCAGAGTCTTAGAAAGATGGAAATAAGCCCAAATCATTTGGAAATCTTACCATGTGGTTTTTTGTATTGGAAAACTGGAAATACCAGTCCTGGAGATGTGTTGCTCTAATAATCTAGTATT